GAACCAACAACCACAACTGTTTTAACATCTACAACAGAACAATCAACTACATCTGAACAAAGCACCACAACACAGACAGCAACAACATCCCTACCTACAACAAATACAGTTCAATCTACAACCCTGGTTTCAACAAACTCACTTACAACTACACCTCAGCTTACAACTACAGCCCCTCCTACAGAAACAACAACACAACTTACATCTACAGCTGAACCAACAACCATAACCAAAGCTCAATCAACAACAACCCCAGACACAACCCAGACAGTTTTTGTTAGTTTTTTCAGCAGTGTAAATTTTGTCTCTGATCTGTCAAATCCAGCTTCAGAAGCATATAAAAACAGAGAAAAGAAAGTCAAAGATACGGTACGTTGCATGGCAAATATTTAAGGCATGCAGTTTGCACCGCAAGTTAAATAGTAACAAACTCTTTGCATTTGAATGTATTCAGTATTTCATTTTGCACCCTAATGTAGATATTAGTGCAAACCAGTTTTGGGCTTGTTACTCAAAAAATTGTATATATTACTCATTACTTCAGTAGTTACTCCTTTCAAAAGTAATATTATGACTTCACCTATTACTCTCGGCTAGAAGTAATTAGTTACACTACTAGTGACACTACTTTTCCATTACATCCCCCAAAAATGTGTGATATTTTGCAGCCTGTGAATACATGAAAGTTACAGATATAAGTCTATTCTTAGTACCACTCCACAATTTACATGTGACTGATATTTTATCTAAAAAAAATTAAAATAATGGCTGTATTTCCAGCCGCTGTATGATGTGGGCTTCTCCATCGTCAGACTAAGCTAGCTTGCTGCATTGGTGACATCATGAAACAATTATGAAAATTGAATGAATTTTTGAATTTCAAATCATTGGCAATTGTGACAAAAAAGTAATTAGCCATTTTTTTTTTTTTGGATGGTAACTGTAATATTTTTACTTACATTTTATCAGTAATTAGTTACACTACTAGTTACCAGGGAAAGAAATACTATTACAGTAATGCGTTACTAGTAACTAGTTAATGCCCAACACTGGTGCAAACTAACTGCACCCCACATAGACAGTAATGTACGTTATTTTTTACTCCAGTGCAAATATCATTCTATTTTATTGGTGCCCTGGTGTAAATATTAATATGCTGCTTTTTAACAATTAGTCCAAATTTTACTATTAATTTTTACTGTTAAATGTTAAAGAATGACATTAATACAGAATTATACCAATAAATGTTAAACATGTTCAAAGAACTGCCGATGCACTTTGCTTTTGGCAGTCATTTCTCAAGAGCAGCTCTGAATAAAAAAATAAAAAAATAAATAAAAAAGAGATATCAATAACATCTGTGCAGCTTGCTCGGCCGATCATGTGAGCATAATTGGGTGAAGACAGGAAAAGACCTGTAGAAGTAACAAAAAAATAAATAAATGCAGACAGTCAATATGGTGGATCAATGTGATAATAAAAGTATTAGTATTAGTGTTGTAGTTTTTATTTTTATTTTAGTCTGTGGTTAATTCATAATCGATAACTAAATATTGAACCTGACACTGTCATCCTGTTTTCCACAGTTGACACCACTCTTTACAAAAGCATTTCCCTCCTTCAAAGGACTGGCAGTTATTCGGTTCCGGTGAGCATTTCTTCCCTTTAAATATGAATACATTTCATTTTCAATTTCGAAAACAAAAGTCTTAGGTTTACAGAAAAATCTAGACAGCCATTTAAACATTTTTCTGCTTATTTGTACATGCAAGAAATAAAACAATTTGATGTCCAAACATTCCTTTGGGGTCACATGAAGTGACAGAGGCAACACAATTTGCAAAAAGAATGTTTGTAAATCTAAAATTGTTATTCTATATATACTGGTTTGCCAAGGCAAAATATATAAATAATCATCTTAAAACAAATGTTTTTAATGAAGCATTTAATACACAGCATCTGAAAAGACTTAAAAGGTTAGTTCACCCAAAACTGAAAATTCTGTCATTAATTACTCACCCACATGTCGTTCCAAACCCGTAAGACCTTCGTTCATCTTTGGAACACAAATGAAGATATTTTTGATGAAATCTGAGAGCTCTGACCCTCCGTAGACAGCAATGCAACTGCAATGTTCCCAGGTCCAGAAACGTAGCAAGGACATCTGTAAAATAATCCATGTGACATCAGGGGTTCAACCGCAATTTTACGAAGCTACGAGAATACTTTTTGTGCGCAAAGAATACAATAATAACATAATTTATTCAACAATTCTTCTCCCCGAGTTACCATCTTCCGCCATTTTGGAGATTACTCCAGAACGTAATCAACGTAAACAATGCTGATTACGTTCTGGGGTAATCTCCAAAATCTAATATCGGAACCACTGATGTCACATTGGACTATTTCGATGTCCTTGCTACGTTTCTGGACCTGGGAACATTGCAGTTGCATTGCTGTGAACGGAGGGTCAGAGAGCTCTCAGATTTTTAATGACAGAATTTTCATTTTGGGGTGAACTATCCCTTTAATGCCACAAAAAAACTACAGCAAACCAAAAATAGCTGCATAAACACTTCTTCCAAACGTGCTATAGCCTAAGTGGTTTCAGTATTAAGCCTTGCATTTAATAAAATGACAATGATTCTCTCTTCTCTTTCTCTTCTGTAGTCCGGGGTCAATCATCACTGATATGAATGTGACATTTGGAACCTTACCCAGTGATGCGAAGATCGAAAACACTATTATGGAAGCTAACGCCACTCTCAATATCACCAGTGTAACACGTAAGTCAAACAAAGAACATCATCAGTATGTCATTCAAAATAATTTACAGTGTTTTCTGTGTTAGTCTGTGTTGTTATTTAACTAAAGCAGTTGCACTGCTTTTTTATCTTGCTGGAGTTATTTTTCTCAACTTTAATTTTTATTTTTCATATTCTACAATACAACCAAACACACACAACAGTAAGGAAGCCCTTCACCACAACTACCAAAGCCACTACAACCAGTTCCACTACAACTACAACTACAACCACACCTACAACAACAGCAGCAGCAACAACAACAACAACAACCACAACATCTACAGCCAATCCTAATACAACAGCATCAACAGCAACCACAACATCTACAGCCAATCCTAAAACAACAGCAGCAAAAACAACAACAACAACCACAACAACCACAACATCTACAGCCAATCCTAAAACAACAGCAGCAAAAACAACAACAACAACCACAACAACCACAACATCTACAGCCAATCCTAAAACAACAGCAGCAAAAACAACAACAACAACCACAACAACCACAACATCTACAGCCAATCCTAAAACAACAGCAGCAAAAACAACAACAACAACAACAGCAACCACAACCACAACAAAAGCACCAGCACGTCCTCAGCCAACTGTTGAGATACGGATTGTCATTATAGTGGTGTTTGTTCCAGCACTGTCAAACCCTCAAACTCCAGAATTTAAAAGCCTTGCCACAAAAGTAGAGACTATGGTATGTGGCAGAACAATACAGTGATTTACAGAAGCAAACGCATTTGCAAAGATACACATAATTATTATTATTATTTTTTTAATAATAGTAAAATTCTAAAGCAAAACTCTGAATTCAGTTTTGGACTTGCCTGAAAGTTTTTGGAAGGAAAAAAAAATATAAACTTGTTTTTTTTTTAGCACTTTTTCAATTGTATAGTACTCTTAAAAAACAGCATGATCTACTTCTATAAAAATGGAATTGCTTCATATAATATTAGGAAACATTCCTAAACCTGGCTTACTGTTTTCACAGTTTGATGAAGTCTATAAAAAAAAGTTTGGGCCTCGTTTCATCAGGACCATCGTGATTGCTTTCATGTAAGTTAAAAGTTTGATTCATTACTTTAAATGATTACTTTGCTCATTTACACTCATGTTTTCAATGTTAATTTACACATCATGCCTTCAATGTCAGACAGTTTGTGTAATTTTTCATGTCGTAAAACTTAAATGTATGCATTTGACACACTTTTATCCAATGCAATTTACAGTGGATTCAATATAATATGTTTGATCAGTTTACACACTCCCTGGGCTAAAAGGGCTAAATACTCTTTTTATATATTGTTATATATTTATATAACTACACTCACTACTGTCAACAGCACAAAATCTGGCAAGATTTTCTCTCCTTTATAAAAGTTTATGTCTATTTAGCTTTCCTAACCGTTTACGGTTATATTTTAAGTTGCACATAAAAAATAAAAAAAAAACTGCTTTCTTCCATCTCTGCATCACAAACCAACACTCAGATCATATGCATGGATGTAAATATAAACTGTAAAACATATCTTTTCTTTCCAGAGCCTTTTTCAGGACCCGGGAAGAATCAAACGTACAGGCAGAGGTTAAGTTAGTGTTTAGCGAAGAGTCCACTGAACCGATCCCCAGCAACACCGACATTGTGGAGACTCTAAAAGAAGCAGCAGCTAATTCAACTGCGGGCTTCAACCTTACCCTTGATGCCACCTCTATTACTGTCATTAGTAAGTTGATTTAGATCTGCCAGATTTCTAAGATTTTACAATGTTAACTTACCTAAAAAAGTTCTGTGCAACTACTTTTTCTTTAATTATCAATTACTTTTTTTTGTAGAATCAGTGCAGATAATTCCGCTGACAATCCTCACCAACGGAAACTTTGTGGCTGCTCTTTCAAATAAAAGTTCGGCTGAATTTCAGAACAGGGCTTCGCTGATAAAAACAGGGGTGAGTGTGACGTGTCTACTTATGAATTATGGGAAACATGCTTTTACAAAAGAAAGCCAATTTTGACAAACAACTCTTGTTTTGCAGCTTGAACCTTTTTTCCTGGCTGATTACCCTACATCATTCAGCACCATATCCGTAACAAACTTTAGGTATGAATATGCTGGTGCTTTCTTGAATATAGCTACTGACTCAACATAACACAGTTTTCATTCATGAATCTTGATTCCAAACTCTCTCCAGTGATGCCGGTGTAAAATTAAGGAGTGTGCCCAAGATCCGAAACAGCATGGATATTGTATTCGGAGCGGATGCTGTTCTACCCAATAGCACCCAGATAGTGAACACTGTAGTTCGAGCAGCCAGGAACAATACGCTACCCTTCCAGATCTTCACTTCTTCAATTATAATAAATGGAACAGGTGAGTGATTCACTTCAATCTTGCACTGCAGTGAAATATTTTGCACTCAGATGAGTAATATTTTTACTTAGGGGAACCGTCAGGGCCCTCTAGGCCCTCAGAGAGGGCTTAAACTACTGTAAAAACAATATTTACAATTTCTAAATAAATCCATTAATACAATAAACTTTTAAATATTATTTTAATTAAAAGTCATAATTTCAAACTTTATTTAATCAATTTATAATTTAACAATCATCATCTAAATAAAATAAATAACATTTCTGTGGAAATAAACTCTTCAAATCTGCATATTCAGTGAATGTGTTAAATGAACGACGCTCATTTTCTCCATATTTGAATGCTTCCTCCTAGCGTTTACGGCTCTGTGATTAGTGTTCCAGATATGAAATTACAGTGGGCCAAGCAATAGTCAATCAGTAGGAGCGAAATTTCAAGTGACAGAAAAACTGACCAATCATATCTTTCCTCTAAATGGGCGGGCCTTGTTATCACTAACTTTATGACAAGTTCCGCCCGCTATGGGATCTGTATTGGAAAAAAATAATACATTGACCTAAGTAGCTATCATTCACGTCACGATGTAAGCTGCAAATTACATAAGTGAGGACATTTACTGGGCCGCTGTGCCAGTAATAATATTATTTATTATAAACACTGCTTGTTTGTCATGAAGTGTCTGTCCTTAATTTGTTTCGCTGTGAGCGCTGTCATGATGTGCTGTCTTACATTAAACATTACATTTGTTGGTTTTGTGCACAGACCGATTGTGTGATGATGCATTTGTAATGAGAATTTTCATTTGACTTAAATTTAGCTATGTTTTATTAAGGTGATATCAGTCTTTTTTCTGATCACTCAGTTTTCTAGTTGCATTTCTGAAAGGCAGTTGCTCACCTTTAAACTTTTAATCTATTTTCCAAACAGTCAAAAGTTCACTTAAAGAATGAGCGAATGGTGTCAATAAGTTTGAAGTTCAGTGATTGAAATAACAGCAAACGGAATGACAAAATGTGATCTATTGCAGTCTATAGTCTAGGAGGCCCTCCTGCTTACATGAAGCACAGCCTTTATTAGTGCCACAGAAAGACAAACGTTTCACTGAAAAATGCACAAGACACAATCTTCCAGCCTAGGATGAAGTCATTATATACATTAACAATAATTTAGAACAAATATGATGTACTTTAATGGAAAACTATACGAGTAGTGCTCTGTGGCGCGGCAGGATTTTGAACAGTGCCCAGAGTCAAAGCTGATATCCGTGGACAGTCGCCGGTGTCCGTACGCTAATAGAAAACGTTTCCAGGTTACGCATGTAACCATAGTTCCCAGAGGGAACGAGACGCTGCGTCGAAACGCTATGGGAACGCACCTTCAGCGTGACCATGCTCTGAATCACGTGTGTAATCAGTCCAATGGATGGGCGAGACGTTACGGGCGGGGTGACGTAGTGACCAGGACACTTAAAAGCACGTGCGGTGGAACCGGCTTCGAGGAATGAAGCAAGCGCTCGCAGGGATGTATGGTATGGCACTCAAGTATGGCACTGAGATGCAGCGTCTCGTTCCCTCTGGGAACTAGGGTTACATGCGTAACCTGAAGACATTTTCTTTCAGGAACTTGAGCTGCTTGACAGTGAGTGACCGGACTTCTCTCACTCTCATGTCTGCAGTGAGGATCGACTCGATCCGAGCAGGAGACAGACATGCCTGCATCGTGGTCGAATCCCACACCACGCCCAGATAAGTGATCCTCTGTAATGGAGAATGCACACTTTTCTTGGCGTTAAGTCTTAACCCCAGCTCTTTCATGTGAGCTAGAACGACATCTTGATGCCGAACCGTCATCTGCTCAAATTGAGCTAATATCAACCAATCGTCGATGTGGTTGAGTATGCGGATGCCCCGGAGACACAGAGGAGCCAGAGCAGCATCCACACACTTCATGAAAGTGCGGGGTGAGAGTGCAAGGCCGAAGGGAAGAACCCGATATTGGTAGGATTTTTGCCCCCGAAAGCCAACCTCAGGAACCTCCTGTGATGGGAAAGGATGGAGATAGGCCGAGCTCTAGGAGTGGAGGCCTCAGCATAACGACTCTCTAAAGCGAGAGGAGGCCTCTACACCCCACTCTAGCCTGCCTAGCGGAGCTCTGGCGAGCGGAGGCCTCAGAAACTCTCTGTAGCGAGAGGAGGCCTGACGACACTCGCAGAAAAATGTCCGCTCTTGGAGCGGAGGCCTCAGCATGACAACTCTCTAAAGCGAGAGGAGGCCTCTCGCAGCGCAACCCTCCATCCATAGAGACCTCCAAAGCGGTAGCGAGCCTCTTAGTACCACTACGTTTCCGGGCGGTGACTGAGAGAAGCGCTCACCGGAGACCGCTGCGCCCTGAAGCACGGCAGGGTTGGCAGACCGACCTCCTGAGGGCACTGAGGAGAGACGGGCACCGTGTAATGCGGTGTACACCGCAGTGCGGGGTGAGAGTGCAAGGCCGAAGGGAAGAACCCGATATTGGTAGGATTTTTGCCCCCGAAAGCCAACCTCAGGAACCTCCTGTGATGGGAAAGGATGGAGATAGGCCGAGCTCTAGGAGTGGAGGCCTCAGCATAACGACTCTCTAAAGCGAGAGGAGGCCTCTACACCCCACTCTAGCCTGCCTAGCGGAGCTCTGGCGAGCGGAGGCCTCAGAAACTCTCTGTAGCGAGAGGAGGCCTGACGACACTCGCAGAAAAATGTCCGCTCTTGGAGCGGAGGCCTCAGCATGACAACTCTCTAAAGCGAGAGGAGGCCTCTCGCAGCGCAACCCTCCATCCATAGAGACCTCCAAAGCGGTAGCGAGCCTCTTAGTACCACTACGTTTCCGGGCGGTGACTGAGAGAAGCGCTCACCGGAGACCGCTGCGCCCTGAAGCACCGTAGGTGGCAGGGTTGGCAGATCGATCTCCTGAGGGCACTGAGGAGAGATGGGCACCGTATAATGAGGCGTACACCATTCTTCCCCAGAGGGGCCTGCCCTCCGAAGTCCTGAGCCATGGCATCAGGACTCTCTAAGCTGAAGTCTCCTATTGAAAACGACGGTCCTCAGACCAGCGTCATCTCCTAGGAAGACTAGACTGATAGAACCAGAGCCTGCTTGGGGCAGGACCCAATGAGACACGCTTGGCAGGGGCTCCCACACCACCAGGTGACCTACTAAGGGAACCAGTCTCTAGAGACTGGCCTCCGGTGCAGTTAGAGATGCTAGGTCGGTGCCCTGAAGTGGCAAATCGGCAGGGGACGGCTGAACTAGCTACTCTAGAGACCTCCGAAGAGGTAGTGAGCCTCTTAGTACCGCTACGTTTCCAGGCGGTGACTGAGAGAAGCACTCACCGGAGACCGCTGCGCCTGAATCACCGTAGGTGGCAGGGTTGGCAGATCGATCTCCCGAGGGCACTGAGGAGAGACGGGCACCGTATAATGAGATGTACACCACTCTTCCCCAGAGGGGCCTGCCCTCCGAAGTCCTGAGCCATGGCATCAGGACTCTCTAAGCTGAAGTCGAGCACCACTAATTCTGGGGAGTACGAGAAGTGACACTCCCTGAATGAAGAGCTAGAACACGGTAGGTTGGGTAGGTTGGGGCCAAGCAGCCCCTGCTGCCCACCTCAACCTCCTCGGAGGAAGAGAGGTAAACACGTGCTCCTCGGAGAAAGATAGCTGCAGCAGTGAGCTCTCACTCAGAGGGGGAAGAAACCGCAGCGCGGGCTTCCGAAT